TATCGGATGCGTACATGCCCTACAACCAAGTACACGGTGGACCCGAGTAGCGGACTCCCTCAGGTCAGTGGGCAGGTGTCCCAGGAGGCCTTGCAGGCATGGGCGGCGGCCGCCAAACACACGGATATGGAAGCGGCCCGGCTCGCACAGCAGCCTAGCCTGAATGCGTTCCTTGGAATTTCGCTGCAGGGCTCACAAGCGCTTGGGCAGCGCCAGTACCAAGAGTTTAAGCCGGAGTTGCCCCCTGCCCATTTTCTTGAGGCCATCAGGCTCGCCCTAGCAGCCTCGGTGGCCAATCAGGACCTTGAGCACTTTTGGTCCGTCTATAACTTGGAATGGCCCGACACCACTGCTCGGATGGCTGTTTTCCTTCGGCGTGTGCTGCCCTTGGAAAGCCTACTTGCCTCGCCCCGTCTCGAAACCACGGGCGTGAACGAGGTCCAAACCTCGCCGGATGTGTACAGTGCCTCTTCCGGCACGGAACCTGTGTCCCCCGCATCGATGGAGGACCTGGCAGAGGAAGCGGACGAATCAGAGGCGCAGGTGCACGATTGGCGTTTCTCTGAACTGCGAACTACTGACCTAGCGGCCTTGCGAGAAGTGGACGTCGCTGCTCCTTTTCGGCTGCCGGTCATTGACGATGAGCATTGGAAAGGGCTCAGCACAACACCTAATAGGCACGGACCCCGTTCCAGGAATGCGTGGTATGATGCTGCCACTGCTCATTGGGCTGCCCTCAAGGGGCTCGCAAGATCCAAGCATCCAACTAAGCAGCAACTCAACAGCTTCTGGTTCAAGCCGTGCTGCCATGGCACTCCCAAGGAGCTACCACCTTCCCCTTTCAGTATCGGGACGAAGGTGTGGTGCAATATCGGCAAATACAGGATGCCATCCGGACGATGTGGCAGGCAGCACAAGCCTCAATGAAACGGCACATAGGGGGCTCCATCCCAACTGGCATCCCTGAGTGGGGGGTTAGCGAGGAGGAGTTGCCACAAGTATCAGGAGGACGGGCCCATACTGTCTCTGCAGGCCACCGCCCACGACGCCCTGACTGGGAAGGCCCTTGGCAATAATCCCTCACATGGGTGGGACCATTGGTAGCTGTCGCTACTCAATGGCTTCCGTAATGGGAGCCTCCAGGGAGCCTGCTGCTCTTGGCTGCGGCTCGCGGCTGCCCCAATGGCCGGCCACCACGGGGAACCTGGGCTGGTCCGCAGTGCTCACTTGTAAGTCCCCAGTGGTTGACCACCATGGGGCGCACGGACGCTTGTAATAGGAAGTTTCCATGGCACCCCAACCTGCCTCGGCGACTGTGGTGAGGTGTACAAATTCAAGGTGCCTGAGCCCTCGGCCCTTGTAGTTGACCCTGCCGTTTCCTCTTGCCTTGTGGAAGTAAGGATTCGTGCAACATTGGCAAACCCTGATGTCCACTGCTCCGCTCTGTGCAGGGACTGGCGTTTCTCCCAGTAGAACCGGTCGCTACTGACGCGCATTGACCTCCCTTCTGGCTGGTTGATGTAACTTGTCGGGACGGGAACACCCTTCTGGGCGGGCGATGCGGTGAGCCTAGTGGAGTGAGTGCCTCTCGCCCGGGGCTGTACCACTGGCTGGCCCCCATGGAGTACTCTGGGCTGGTCTTGCCTTGATTGTTCATCGGTCATGTCCAAGGTAAGACTGCCCAGTCTTCCTCTCCTCCGCCCCTCTTTGACCGGATAGGTTGCCCTTTCTGTGCTATGGCACTGCAAAAACCCCTCGGCTTTGAGACCCAGCAGCCGCCCACACTGGTTGCCCCTCCGCTCATCACGGGACGATACAACGCTTGACTCATAGTGAGTCATGGCAATGCGATCCTCCCCTTTGTGGTATCTCGGCCGAAGGACGACTCTGGAGAGGCCAATGCAGTGGTGCTGCTTCTCCCAGGTTGCGGGCATTTATGTCTGAAGAATATACACCCACGCATCATCGCCTATGCTTGGCCTGTGGCAGGGCTGGCTGGCTCTCCGCTCGCTTGGATGCTACCTGACGGCGCCACCTAAACGAACGCTGTGTATACCATGCAGATCTTGGGCTCTTGCAGGCTGCCAAAAGTGATGTGAGCCCTCACATCTCCTTGCCGACGTACCTTATTGGCTTTGGCTCTGGAGGGACCACTGCTTACCAAAGTGCAGTCTCCGAGACCGAGCTTTCGGGCTTGCGTGTGTGGCCTCTCCTCTGGCTGTCTGTTGAGACATTGCTTGCACGCGGACATCTTTCCAGGTGGGCGCAGCTGCAAGCCAGGGTGAGCGGGGGACCTGTCGCTCGGGGCTGCTCCACTGGCTGACCACCATGGAGTGCGCTGGGCTGGTCTTGCCTCGATTGTTCTTGCTGTTAAGTCCCCACTGGCTGACCACCATGGGGCATACGCACGTCTTTCCTCTCCTTGGGGAGTTTGACCTGTCACACACCTTTGCCACTGCGGGCTTGTTATCTGTCCTTGACGACGGGTGCGGGATCCTGACGGCCGAATCGACTCTGGAGAGACCAATGCGGCGGTGCTGCCTCTCCCAGGCTGCGGGCACTTCTACGTGGAGAATAGGCACCTACTGCCTTGGCCTGGAGATATCGAATACCTGTGGAATAACTTGGCCTTCAAAAGGGTCATCGTCGTCTGTGCTTGGCTTGTGGCAGGACAGGCAGGATCTTCGCCCGCCTGGATGCTACCTGACGGCATCGCCTGGACGAAAGCTGTGTATACCACGGAGATCTTAGCGCTCTTGCAGGCTGCCAAAGTGATGTGAGCCCTCACATCTCCCTGCCGACGTATCTTATTGGCTTGGACTCTGGAGGGACCTTTGCCTGCCAGATTGCGGTCCCCGAAACCCCGGCGAGCTTTCGGGCTTGCGTGTGTGGCCTCCGCTTTGGCTGTCTGCTGAGACTGTGCTTGTGCGCGGACATCTATCTGGGTGGGCGCAGCTGCAAGCCAGGGTGAGAGGTGAACCTTCCGCTCGGGGCTGCTCCACTGGCTGACCACCATGGAGTGCCCTGGGCCGGTCTTGCCTTGATTGTTCTTTCTGCTAAGTCCCCACTGGCTGACCACCATGGGGCATGCGCACGTCTTTCCTCTCCTTTGGGGAGTCTGACCTGTACCATCCCTTTGCCAATGCGGGTCCGTGATGTGTCCTTGAAGACGAGCACTGGAGCCTGACTATCGATGATGACCTTGGTTCGAGCCGAATGACGTCGCACCAGTAGCTACATGATGGTGATTTTGAAGATCTGGCAGTGTCGCAATTTGCGACTCCCCGCTTGCTCAGTGCTGTATGATTGCACCGGGACTTCAACGACGACTTCGAGTACTGAGTGCGTGGGGTTTCCTAGTAGTTCGGCGCCTTTGCTTGGTTTGTTGCTTCTGTTTTCTTGTTTTTTGGGTGGTTGCGTGGTGTTCTTGGTGGTTTGCGCGCGCTGACTTCGTTTCACCCGTTACGTCGAGCCCAACAAGACCGGCCTACTGTGCTACTGATGTAGTAAAGGGGCGCCAGTCCAAAAAAAAAATGCTCCAGACGAACGTGCTCTGCGAGCTCGACCATATTGATCATGCTTGGTGGCTGCGCTCGAGTTGCTGATGCCGCTACCACGTACATCGCCTGCCGCTGCCTGCACTTTGGCCAAGTTCTTTCCCGACAAACCATTGAGGAGTGTCTGTTGTCTGGCTTTCCCTGCACGCTGCTATGCCTTGTGACGCCAAATGAATGGCAGGACGATCCTTTGGGGCCATAGCTTGGGGGGCCACAGTTGCCTTGGCCATAGCATGAGGTTGGCACCGTCTGGCCGAGTCTGGCCTTTATGCACATGGCGTAGTGGGCGCAGATCCCGGCTGTGGCCATTTCGGGGATCTGTTGGGTGTGCAGTCGCTGCCCCCGAGCCTGCCAGAGTACCTGACGCCGGTCCATTTCCGAGTCCCTGCAGTGCTGGCACAGGACTTTATAGCTTCGCTAGTGCCGCTAGTGTCATGTGGCAAACGCCCGGGCCGTTTCCCAATCACTGCCAACCTGGCCCCCATGCAGCACTGCCAAGCCGCTTGGGGCACAAGGCGCCTCCTTACGAGTACAGACCACTACCTTGTAGCAGAGGCCGGTATCTCCCAGTGCATCCAGGCTGCTTGACTGCCTCTGCAAGTCACCCTCTGCACGAGCTGAGCTGATGAGGAATGCGGCACATGCTTGACGCTTCGGCTCCGGTCGAAACAGGTACAAATAGTCTGGTTTGTAAGCTTGACGTGTTCTTGCTGCCAGCTTTCTACGTGTGCATCTCAACATCTCGGTACATGTCGCAAACGCTGTGATTTAGTGACAAACGGTACTCAGCGCCATCCAATAAGTACTGGCAAATTTTCATGCTGGATCCAAACAGATTACACACTTTTGAGGGTGTTTTGATCTTATGCTTATGCCCTAAATGCGCACTCGCAAAATTGGCAGCGGGCATGTGGCTTTCGAGGCGCGTTGTATCCGGCAGCCATCCCAAGCTCCGAGATTTGTTCATCGGCTACCTGATAAAACGCTTGCTTTGAGAACTTCTTTTGGCTGAGCGTTTTCGGACCCTAAGTTTGCGTGAACTCTCTGCTTGTGTTTCCGAAGCCCCATGGCGTTGCGCAGAAGCTTCTTGTCAGTGGTAGAATGCGGAACTGCTTTGGCAAGAGCAAGGGGCTGCCAAGTTTGCTGATGCAGCAGCCGTAGCATTCACCTACCTACACATCTGTCTCTCGTGGTCCGGGTTCAAGAAATGTTCAGAATGACCACCAGGGTTCAAGTGCAGAGCGTCTTTTGGCAGCGTTTTTGGTTCAAGTCCCTTCATGCCATTATGAAGCAGTTGTGCCATCATGCACTGTTTCGGTCAAATCTGCAAGCAGCGTTGGAGAGACTTTGGTTGCAAACTGACCGGTGACTCCAAACGAGTCCTTATGCTCCAAAACTGAGACAGCGCTTGCTGGGCTGTAGCGTCACAAAGTGGGACCAAAAATGGGCCGAGGCAGTCAGAATAGTGTGGCATTTTTTGCAGTTCACATCCAGCTTGTGTTTGCAGGGAAGAACCCCAGAGTCTACCTGGATATTGCCATCGGCAGTCGAACAGGCCAAGGGGTTTGCGCAGTTGCGGTGTGGGTCTGGGCAGACGTGCCCATCGATTGACGGTGCCCGTTCATTGATGATGGCAGGTGGCCGGGTGATTATTGAGCTGTTTGCCGATGTGACACCTAGGCCGTCACAAACTGCCAATGTTAGGGTGGAACTGCTTTCGTCATCATGGCAGGACAGCAGAAAACTTTCGAGCCCTCTGCACTGGCGAGTATGGCGCGAGCCTTGCCGCGAAGCGGAAAAGCGATACTTCGGTGTTGAGGTTTTTTTGCACTTTGCATGTTGTAAGGCCTTGGCCGAACTACCAGGAAGAAGCTTTGCTACGAAGGATGCCAGTTCTTCCGATCCGTGTCGGCCTGAAACAGCACGTTGGGGAATAGTCTGCTAGGTCAGGTCATGTCCAGGGACTGAATTTGGAAGCCAATGGTCACTTATATATATTGGACAATGGTGCCATCGAAGCATGAAATGCGCATGTGTGCTTTGAGGTTAAGAACTTTATGATCCAGTCTGGAGACTTTCAGTTCAACAACGGTGATGGCATGGGGCTGAGGATTCCATGGATGTGGTGTCATCTGTTCGGGCCACTATGCTTCACAGACAGATCATCGGGTATTGGATTTCGGCTTCGATCGGATTTGCGCGCCGCTGATGCTTTGCTTCTCGTTCCTCTGTGTGCCAATAGTTTAGCAGCAACACAATATGGACGCGACGCCGGTGCAGCAGCCATGTGACATACATGGACATCCTGCAGCCATGCCTTCCTGTTCCCAAGGAGGCGAGAGCATCTATGGTGGCACGTTCAATGATGAAGACTTTGTTCGCCGCCACACGCAGGCAATATCTGTGGGAAGCTGTCTGATGGGGCAGCTTCAGGTACTGTAGCTTCTGAAACAGCATTTTTTGATTTCTCGACAGGCTGGAGTGGTTAGCATGGCCAACAAGGGTGCCTCGGTGCTTTTGAGTGCTAGTTGGGAACTGTTTTTGGCACTGTTGTACTGCTTGAGGCCGAAACAGCAATGGCTCCCAGTTCTTCATCACACTGAAGTGCCCCACATGTGCCTGGGATGTTTTTCTCTTCTCGCTTTAACTACCGCCAGGCGGAGCGTACAGCTTGACAACAAACACATAGCCTTTGGGCAGGCACGGGCTTGGTTACGTAGACAGAAGCTTGCTTGGTCACGAGCATGATGTTGGCAGGTGGTAGAGGGCATGGACGTCATCCGAGCAATCTCAGCAGTTCCCACGGATGCGGGCCTAGCATCGCAAGCAGGGCAATCAGTGTCTGGGCAAGGGCCCTTGATGTTGCTATTGTCCTTCTGAGGATCGTGACGAGCGGCCGCGAGTGGCTTGCACTATTGTTGGCTGTGGGGAGGCCGCAGATGCAAGTTATGTCCCATTGTTGTGCTTCATGAAATTCAGCAGGCCTCATGACCTCAGGTAGGTGCCAAGACCAGCAGTGGCCTCGAGCAGCAGACGGAGTGATGACCTTACCTCTGCGTCCGAGATGGCTGGTGATGCTGGTGTCAGTTGCTGCGAACTGGTGTTAGCTTTCTGGATTGTCGCTGCGGCGCGGGCTCCCGAATCCTAGGATGAGCAAGCTCATCCAGAACCTCACGGAGGACGCGGACGCGGCCCCAAAGGCCAGAGGACTCACGCATTAACGAGCGTGCTCGTGTCTGCCAGCTGTGTCAGTCGAAGACTATGAACACCTCTGACTCCATTGGCTGACAACGATTGACAGTCCAGGCCAATGCTGCGCAGCAAGGCAAGCAGATCCTTGCCGGAAAGCCAGGCGCGAGGTCCATTTGGTCCATTGCATCCAAGCCACAATGGCAGCCTTGGAAAGTCAGGTGGTGCGGCCACTGGTGGTGAGATTAGCGGTACCAGTCTGAAGCGAAAGGCGCAGGAGTCGGCCAGAGTGCCTCTTTAGGGGCTCCAGTTTCCATGTCTTGGCAATGGTCACCCACCGGCGTTTCGTAGCTACTGCCAATGATGTCTCGCGAGGAGGAGGAAGAGCCCGAGACCGAGGGCCGGCAGCCCAGAAGTTACAGCTGCGATCGGCGTAGTCGTTTGAAGCTTTCTCGGATTCCGTAGGATTCCGTGGGATTTTGTAGGGTTTCGTAGGATACGGATCAGCTCCGCCTTCGAGATGATCCATGGCCATCAGGCGCCGGCATCCCCCTGCCTCGCACAGAGCGTGAGAAGCGGCTCTACCAGCTGAGGCGCAGCCTTTGACATCCTCTGACACTGTTGGGTGTATGAATACCGTGTATATGCCCGTGTATATGCTGTACGTGGTTGATCAGGCTGAAGATGAACCAGAGCTCTCTTCTCAGTACCAGGTTGCTTTTCCTTCTAAGATCCACAGGCTTTCCCGCAGTAAGCGCGTTGTTGAGTCGTCAAAAGCATCTAGGTCGTGCCGCGAACAACAAGGAGGCTGTCACAAGAAGTGGGCTTCAGTGCTGGTTTATTGGGTACGAAAGGCAGGTCGTTGCTTCGGCACCTCGCAGGTTGTTGAGGAGCAGAAGCGTGAGTCGGATCCTGGCTACTCGAAGAAGGTGGCAGCCAAGCGCCGACCTTGGCCAAGGGGCTGCTTTCGTCATTATGAAGTGTTTGGTCACTTCCTGGCGGTTGGACAAAGGAGAGCGGCCGAAGAAGAGAAGAAGGAGAAGGAGGAGGCCCACTTGCAACACACTGAAGATGGGTTTTTCGATCCTTCGAGGCAGCTTGGGAAGTCATGGCCACGAATCCTTCCCGCAAGCTGCAGGATGACAAGAAAGGAAGCAAAAGCAGGCCTTAGACATGGCTATTGCACGAAAGGGAGCGGGACCATCTGAAGCTGTGTGATGCTCTGTGATTGGGCAAGACATAACAGAGATGCATCTTCTGGTGCTGTTCGATTGTGCCTGCCTGAAGTGCTCATGCCCCCTCCCACTGCTCATTTTGCAAGCCGCCAGCAGGAACGGCATGCCCGAGGGTAAGGACTACCTCAATGACACCATGGAGCATGCTCCTCAGCCTCGACCTGTGAGCATGAGCACCTGACATGCTAGCGTCTGCTTCTCATCTCCTTGAAGGACCGCAGAAGCTCGAGAAGCCAAGAAGAAGAAAGGCTGCTGAGACAGAACGGACACGAGCTCTGCCAAAGTGTTCCGCAGTTTGAGACCGAGCGTTCTTGGCTGCAGGCAACCCTGATGCTTTCGGCTGGGACGTCTTCAACCAGGACCTTCACTGGCAGCGATGTGCATTTTGAATTGAGGCGAACCAGTGAAGCGTTTGTGAGGTGCCCGACAGGCTTCTGTGCTTTGGGTTCCCACTCCAAAGTACGAGTTAGAGACCTGACCATGGCGCCCATGGAAGGATTCCCTTCTGCGGGCTCATGAGAAGCGGCTGAAGCATATCCAGTTCCAGCCAGAGGCCGCGCTTTTTCGCCAGGACGCCAACTTGAGTGTAAGACTTACACGTCATCGGCAGCAGGTGTTGAAGGCTGTCCATGCTGCCGCACAGGCTTATGAAAAGCAAAAGAAGCAGCTAGAAGATGAAGGTGAAGAAGGCACTTGGGAGCGATCAAGGAGTCGTTTCTCAGTCGTTCCTTGTTTTGCTTGTTCTTGGAAGGCCTGAAGTTTGCAGGCTTCGGCTTCAAGCCGACAGAGGAGGCCCTGGGAAAACCTATATTTGGCCGTGTTATGTTTGTGTGGTTCTGGACCGATGCGCCACCAGCCTGTGAGCGAATCTGGAGCAGGAAGGACCTGATTGCCTGATGAAGTGTGCTGGTTCGTGCTCATGCCTGGCTGCCATACAGGCGAAGCGACGGCTAGGAGATGCCATGGACAAGATCTTGGACTCTTGTCAGCTCTGGCCGTTCTATATTCATATATATATATACGCATATTATATTGTTCTTTTTTTGTCTGGGCCTGCCTCTTTCGCTTCTATCTGTCCCGCCCCATTCCCCGCTGTCTCCTTGCCAGTTCTTGCGTTGTATCCGTATCCTGCCGGTTCTTTCGGGCCACTAAGGAGAAGAAGAAGGAATTCTCAAGGAGGCCGTTGCATAAAGCCTTTTTCAGATTTGTTAGGGTCGCCAGTGGTTGAATATGCAAGAGGTACGCAGCGCTGTGAAACACATGGGTATGGTTGCTTTTCGATGGGCGAGGTTGTGCATTTTCCCAATTGCGTGTCTTCTGCAGACAGCCCATGTGTGTTTTGCAACATGTCGTATCTTCGTATGCCGTTAGTTGCATGCGTGGGTAGGTGTGCATTCGAAACATGCGTAACCTCAAGAAAGGCATTCATGGACTTTCGTTTACCAAGTTGCGTCCCCAAGCTCAGCCCTGCAAAGGCGTGCCTACAACGACGAAGAAGATCGGACGTATGTCAACGACAGGAATCGCGCCTTGCTAAGAGGGGGGGATGATTGTCCTATTCACATCGTATCCTTTTCCACACCAGGAAATTTACCTAGCTCCCTTTCCATTCACAGAATGTCCGAGGCTTCTTCAACAAGAAGCTGGATCGCTTCTTCGGCGACTACACAGAGGCCTGCGCTTGGGTCACTGCCACCCTTGCAGTAGAAGTAGCCCCTTGACGGAGTCTTTCATGCGGCCCTTGGATTTAACTTTAGCAGCACAGGGCTGCAGAGAGAGCTGCCCTTGCATCTCCATGCCATGCTAGGAAACGCGGCAGAATCTGGAGCGCGGTACGGCCTTGTGATCAAAGGAAGTTGGAGAGGTTGTGGCAAACTACACAGCCATCGGGGCCTATGCCTTACAGTAATTCAGAGCCACTTTGCCCTCCAACTTCCTTTGACAGCCTCTGGAGTCTCTCTGCCACCTGGCACCTTGGCGTAAAGATAGACTCGTTGTGTCTCTGGCTACTATCGTGAAAAACATGTTGCTGGCATGTTTCAGGCGCGTTTGCTGGCCGCGTGTCCTCAGGCAAAGGGATCTGGTGGAAGCAAATGATCTGCTTCAGCCAAGACAGCTGAAACTGCGGCTGCGGCAAAACCATCATGCTTGCGATTTGTTTTGCTTCTGTGGAAGGTTATTGAGCTGGCAAGTCATTGCTTCTGCAGCTGTTCAGTTCGAAGCCTAGCCAACAAGAGAGCCTCACGCGATAGAATTGCTTCCACTTGGTCTGCTCAAGTCATCACAAGCACTATGGTGGTGTGGACACAACAGCATTCGTCCACAGCCTCGCGTTCGAGATCAGCAAGGCAGAGACAGCCCAGGTGTAAAGTCATTACCTCCGTGACATCCCCGCTACATGGCATCCGATGAACGACCTGCTGGTACACTGCGGGTGTACTTCGAAGACAATACGTCGCTCAGCTGTGGACTCTGCCCTATGCGGCCTATGCATTCACTCGTGTACTGCTCGGCGTTATTTTGGTTCTGCAAGGCTCTTCAAGACGTGAACATGCGCTTTGTTCCTAGGTTTCGAACATTGCCGCTCAAGCCCGAGTCCACGGTTCAGGACCGTTATGGGGCGTTTCTCGGAAATTTTGCTTTGGCTGTTTCTGGCTCGAGGCTTCTAGTGCTGATGTCCTGCCTGTATGCGTAAGGTCTGGCTAGACTGCGACTCGGAGGTGTGCAACCCCTTCCATCGAGAGCCATCACTGACATTTACGCAAGCCTTCACACTTGTGTGACAGCGTTTTATGCCAGATGAACTCAAAAATTCTTTGATGGGAATTTTTGTGTCCATGTTCTGCATGATGTTCTGTTGGGAATTTTCGTCTGACCCGTGCATGCACTCTCATGAGAATTTTTGCATGAGTTTTGCATGTGAATTGCATGTTGAATGGGTCAAGGTTCTTGCTCGCAGCAAGCTGGCGAAAATTTTTGTTCCCCACCCTCCCACCCGGGAAAGAAGGGGGAAAGAAGGCTGGTGGCTCTACGCCACTTCTTGTGTTTGAAATGTGGGCGTGGCTCCATGCCATGCGAAGAGATGTGTACCATTCCCCCACATGGACTTCATCTTTGGCATAATAGGGAGAGATCTCCGTGTGTACACACGCATGTAGGAGACTTGTGGTTTTCGGTTTCGGCGCCTGTGGCGGTGGGGGTGGGCGTCATCTTGTCACCTGCATCGCCACGACAGTTTACGTCGTGGAGAGGAGAAGTTTAGGCCAGGCGTCCCGATGCAAAGAGCTTGCAAGAGTATGGTGATGCAACATGAGAATTATCGATAGTGTGCATTGTATCATGATAGGGATGCTACTTACTAGGAATCCTATAGCGATTGTAACCGTGCAACAAATGTGGAGCATCGCAAATGCGGTGCTGTATGACGAGCGGTTTGTAACAGATCCGCCGAACATCTTGCGAAAGAAGCATGCTGTTTAACTGGTGTAGTGAACAGCGATGACCGTTGCAGAGGACGTCATCGAGTCTTTGTGCAAACGGCGAGCCTCCAATGGAAAACAAGCAGATCCAGAACGGTGCGCTAGCCTAAATTTATGGGGCAAGCTCGTACAGTCGTGAGTGCCTGCAATCAATGGAGACGGTGGCTGCTGGTAGTGCGTGGAGGTCGTCTGCCAGGAGCGAGTAAAGCCGAAGAGCGTTGCTAGTTTGTTGGATCGATCAGTAAAGGCCTTAGTGTTGGGACACGTTGGGACCGCAGTTGCCACCCCCCTTGAGCCTGAGCCTTTCATTGCGTGTTTTCGGTACTTGTCTTCGCAGATTGTTTACTGTCATACTGGTGCCATCTGATCGCTTCTCGAAAAATGCCAGGCTTACAGGCTGCGGCATGCTAGCTAAGCCTTGAGCCATCTTGAGCCAGAATTTTAGTTCTATACTCAGCCAGACATGGAAACAAACGCCTTTGCCCATTTGTTTTCATCATAGCATCGTGCTTGGCACGCGCGTGCGTCGCAATCGTTGCGTGGTTGGTGCACAGCTGACGTACCTTGACATCCTTGACACTCGGCCAGGCATGAGCTTCTCCTGAAAGCACCGGGCCGTCCAAAGTTGAGAGAACGGCTTCTGCTTCGTGAGGAGTGGGGGACGCTCTTGTTCGGGCAAGTGCTGAGTGTTGGAAGATCTTCTTGTGCCTTGTGACAGTCTGCAGGGCATAGACTCTGGCGGAACTGCTGCAGGTGACAAGAACTTTCGTAATACTGTATGCATGTGACATAGATAGATACATCGATACTTCTGCTTCAGGAGCGCCCGCTTCAGATCCAGGCCGATGGAGCACTGCAAAGCTGCCCTGTATGGTTCAGATACCTCGTAAATTTCAACACGTTTCAGCTAAAGGTTGCAGCAAAGTCCCAGCAATCAGGCCTCAGGCTGCAAGGAACTAGACCGACAAAGTCTCATGATGCTCTATGCTGCTCATTCTAGTCATGCTCGTTCTAGTCATGAATATGTCCTCTTGGGTGTACCTGTTTTGTCCGAGCCCGTTTTTGTTTACATCAAGCTGCAGGCAGGTTATGCAAAGCACCAGGGGCACACTTTTCAACTCGGCGGTCTGATGCCACCATATCAGAATCGGCATGAGACGTGTTCCTCACACTTCCGCACAAAGAGTGCAACGCAAAGCTATCACGCTATGTTTCTATGTGTTTCGTTGCTTTTGTGGCAGGAGAAGGGTGGCCAAACCGCCTTCAAGTTCCTGTTCCGCGAAATTCGACAGACAGGAGAACCTCGCAAACTCTCACAAGTGGACTGGTCACCATGATCATCGTGTGTGCTCTGGTGAAGGGAAGTTAAGTATTATTTCAATAATACTTATCAGAATGCTGTGAGATCTCTTGGGCTCGGACTCAAGCAAGGCCAATTTGCGGCTTACCATGACAGGACAGGACAGCCAAAACGATGAGAGCACGTCTGATGTCCGTCCTGGCCCGAGAAGGGCCTTTTGGAAATGGATGAGGAACGAGTCCTGCTACCTGCATAGTCTGTTCACATGGAGTCTACTGCACTCAGGTGAGCTTCCCATGCCGCTGGCCGACAAGGCAGGGGACATGATGCTAGGGACTTCTTTCCGGGCAGCAGCCTCGATGTTGAGATTGTGAGCCTCATGCCTCAAGGCCGCGCCAACAAGTAATTCTGAAATTGTCAACCTCAAATGTTCATCGCATGTGGACGTGCAGTAGTTTCTACGAAGCGTAAGTGTAGCGTGCGGATGTCGGTCACAATGTGCCGGAGGGGGAGTCTGCGTATCGCACGCGCAGGAGTCTTTCGCAACTTCACTTTAGACCCTCTCAGAGGCTGTAAATCGCAGACCATTTCAGCTCGACCATTCTTCCTCAACTTTGAGAACTTGCCTAATGGCATCCAAGGGTGCCAGGAGTTTTCAGCCCACGGTCAGTCATTAGTAAGCCGAAAGTGATGAAGGGGTCGTCGGGGTGTACAGAAGTCTTAAGTAGGCGGATTTGGGATAGGGTTCCATGTGATCGAGGATGTAGCTGTCCAGCTGCTTCTACTTGTGAAGCTGTTGTTGACAGGGTGAAAGCAGGAGACCCTCCAGGATTTCCTACGCAGTGTGACGGCCCGTTTTCGAAAGATGAACTCGATGACGACGTGCGCATGATGTCCACACTGGATGTCTGAATCTGTATATGCCCTGTGAAAAATGGTATCTCAATTTCCTTACTAAGAAGCAGGAAGAGTTCAACCCAGCAGGATGGCCGGCTGCGCACTGGGTCCCTGGAGCTGAGCTGCGACGGCCTCTGGCAGCGCTGCACGGTGCGCCCGGTGAGGGGGGGTTTACGGTTGTTGTTGTTGAAGAATCAGTTGTCCTGTTGCACTGTTGCACTCTCTTTCCGCATTCGCAGCCAAATAGCACGTCGTTCGTCCCGCGTGGCGAAGCCCCAACCAAGTAAGCCTTTCAGGAGCAAATGCAGTACGAATTCGGGCTCCGCATTCACAGCCACATTGGACATCCTTAGCCCCGCCCCTGAAGCCTCAACTAAGCACCCGAGGCCCGATGTACGGTTCGGGTCTCTTTTCCGCATTCGCAGCCAAGTTGCACGTCCGCTACCCCTGCCACTCTGCCACTACCATTGCCACGGCTTCTTCATATGCACTTCCGCAAAACTAGGACTATGAGCTTTGCTTTTGGGAAAGGTGGCCCTGGACGGTGAAAGTCTCTGGCACTCGCAGGCTGCTCCGTTCACAGCAGCAGTTCTGAATTTGCAGAGACGCAAATATTACATCTCCTGCTGGTTATGAGCTTGTTCCATGTCCTGAGCTGCAAAGGATGACGGCGCCGCGCTTGGTGGAGGAATGGTCGGACGCCTAGCAAGAAGCTGCAGGAGCGAGCTCCATGATTTACCCCTCACATGCAGCATATGCAGCATTCATGATGGATGGCGCCTGCTTAGTTGAGCCCAGTGTTTCAATGGCACAGCATGCCATCGGACCTGCAGCGCGTGACACCTTGAGCCGACCAAGGCTCGAATGCCCCTTCGCTGCGCCGTGGGTGTGGTTCATGGCGAGGACGAGGCCGATCAGGATGGCTTGGTTATGGCTTGGTTTGTTCTTGGCTACTGTATGGATTCTCAGCCCAGCAGTCAGGAAGAGAGGGAGTTCCAGCTCCTGACCAGAGATGGTAATCTGACATGGCCTCCTGGCATCAAGGGTTTCCAAGCTCCGGGAGTTTTGGTGTGCAGTTGATGCCTGGATGTTGAAGTCGGCTAGAGCTGTCATCTGAGGCGAGCCAGGACCTTGGGATGAACCAGACTACTATGGAGGGAGGGGGCAGCGCACGTCGTATCTTCACCGGCACTTTCTGAGGAAGAGGTTCGAGGTCTTGTGGTAGATGAGGGTCAACAGAGCGTGGCACCGCGCACATGGAATGAATGAAATGCAGGAGCACTAAAGTGCGGAATGGTTCCTTGGCTGCACGTATGAGAAGTGGCTGTTGCAGCTCAACATAACAAACATCAAGCTGAGGCTTTATCGGTCCCTTTGCCTTTATCCCCTCATACTCATCGACCAGATGGCTGTTCATTCGATGTCTGAACTTGACTAAAATGCAACACATTGACCTATGAGGAAGGAAGTAGATATCTGCCCAACAGCACAGCAGCACCTTGCAGTTCATTGGAGGATGTTCGTTGGTTGGGCATGAGGCTGGCTCGAAGACTTGACATCTCGGCTGAAGCTGGTGAAGGCGCAAGGCTGTTGAGCGCCGGAGAGATTTCAGTTCAAAGTGAGATGTTGAGGACGCAGAGCTTCTGACCAAAGCGGAGGATCTCATCTGCGAGATCGAGGCATCCGGGTAGCCGCATCTGTGTGTCTGCAGGAAGGCACCTTGTCGTGAAAGGGGAGGTGCTCGTTTGTAGATCCCCCTAAGTCTAAACCCTCGTGACTGCCCAATTGGCGGCTGCTGTGCCATCTGATCCCACAACATTCCCAGGCGCGACGCTGCGACGAGAATCTCTCCAAGTTGGAAGCATTCGACACTGAGACTTTGACAAAAAAGGATGCTGCAGAAAAGTCCTCGGGGTGAAATGTTGCGATGTGAGGGGTGGTAGAGGCCAGACTCCGAGGTCGAGGGCCTCTTGGCCGGTGGGGAGGCAAGGGATCTCTTCCTGTGGTTTCTACGGCCAGGGCCTTAAGAGGAGGGAATCCGATAGATGACACCATGAGCCCTTCGTATCCTTCGTGGCCTTTCTACTGGTAGCAGCCAGGGCTCAGTCAGAGCAGTTTCCCGACATCACAGAGGAGGCGCGCAGACTGGGATGTTCAGTCTATAGACTTTTGTTGCCACTGCTCCAGCATGCTCCTGCCAGTCTCTCGCATCGCTGGCCGCCGAGCCCTGCTCTGAAGCTGCTCGATTCGCTGAGGAGATGCTGCCGAGGCGTGAGGAAGTCCTTTGAGTCCTATGTGCTTGTATGTTGTTTTTGCCCGTGTGTTCCAGGTTCAAAGAGCACCCGGGCATCCAGAATCGGCTCTGTCGCATTGCAGCCGGAGTACCGGGCAAAACGTGAATGACGCGAGAAAAAATGCACCCACATCCCGGCGATTCTGCCTGAGCCAGGGAGCCAGCTCCAGAGGGCCTGTGCTCGCTTGCACCATCTTGCCCCTTGCACCCCTGGATCTTGAGAAGCTTCGTGTATGCTCAGCTGAAGCTAAGATGTCCATGGCTGTTCTGGGACGTCATCTCTTACGCCAGCAGTTTGCATGAGTCCTGTAAGCTGGTACGATCCTGCTGGATCTGGCTGATGGACTGATCCCTGGAGCTTGGCTAAGGCAGGGGGGTCCAAGCTGCATCAAGCCCTTCCCATAAGTCATTCAGTCCAGGTGCGGGTAGATCGCGATGCAGGCCCATGCTGATACTTGCTGCCGCATCAGCATGTCACAGCTGGGGAAGCTGTGCCAACAATCTGTGCTTTCGGGGTGCGTTCGTTCTTTTTTGTGGTCTTGGGGACGGCGGTCTCAGTTGCTGGTACCTTAAAGCCAGATGGCGTGTAACGATACAAGTCTGCCCTCCCAGTTCTCAAAGGGATGCAACTGAAGCCCTGAAGGCCAGAAAGAGCGTTGGTGCGAACCTCCTGAACTCCAACTACCTTGAAACCTGCCCTAAGCCCTAAAAACCAAAGTTTTCAAATGCTGCCCGAATCCTAGAGTCGCTCAACCCCAGAGCCCTGGAAGTGTTGGGTGGGAAAGCCTCGTAGTGCCATCTGAAGGTCCAAAGTGCGCCTTCGCCCTCCCGCTTGCCAGGCAAAGATCTCTGCATTGAAAGACAAGTTCTCCAACTTCCAAGCCCAATGGGAGGAGGATACAAGGCACGGACATACATGATGTATGTTATATCTGTGTATGTTATATCAGGTGTTGTCTGAGTATCACCTTCCCACATCCGATTCTGCAGGAACCGCATAGACCGGGATGGCTCCAAGCTGGATGGCCCAGCCCTCAATGCAGCCATGACCGGCAGGGCCAGCATATCAGCAGATCCAGCAGCAGCTCAACCATCGCCATGCTGCCACGAAGGTGTTCGGGCGAACATGATGAAAGCTGTGGAATCTGTGCAAACAGAAGTCCACCGTCGCGCTGAGGCCAGTTGCCGCACATGTGTGATTAGTGCATTGCGAAGTAGAAAGGCTGCATCTGCAAGCGCATTGAGCTTTCCCGGCATCATCATCCCAGAAAGTGGCGCCGCTAGCAATTTGCCCCCGAGCTCTGAGCAGGCGAATCGTGCGCTGGCTTCCATGTTTGATGCCCAGGTGCACGCTCTGCAGGCCACTGCTAACCAAGAGCAAACCAAGCTTCTCAGACCCGAACGCTGCAGAGTACTATGCAGTCCACCTCCAAACTGTTTAGTGGCCTGCTATGGCAGGACCGACTGGAGGCTGTCTTTACAAAGAAGCTGGATCAGCTGGACTCCAGTGGCCAAGCTGTGTATTCCTTTGAGATGAACGTCCGTGAGAGAGAGACCTGAGAGGGGCTTCTGTTCCCTTTCTTTCACCGTGCTTCAAATGGGGGCTTACGAAACTAGGGGTACCCTTTTGGGGTTCCAATAATAGGGAAAACACTTGTTTGGGGTAAAATTCAGGGTACCCCCTATTTTTGGAAACCCCCCCCTATGCCTTGAGACTGTCAGCGCCCCAGGTTTGGAGACCTTGGGGCGTCGCATGGCCGCTGTGGAGCGGGATTTCGCGGAGACGCGCGAGAAGCAGATCCGGGAGAGAGCTGTCTTTCTTTTTTGGGGGCGGGGGGGTGCACGTGTAGGTGTTTTATGTGCATAGGACCTAAAGGATGTTTTAGGAATCTAGGACTGCCAATGTTCCTGCTGCCCTCGAGGGCCACAACAGCCCTCAAGTTTTCCGAGGGTCTCGAGCCTGATTTTGTCTGAAGGACATCGACAGGAGAAAGGCCCTGCTTTCGAAGGACGGGTGGATGGTACATGCCTGTAGTTTAGGGCAACAAAGCGCGCAGTCCAGCCACGTCCAGCTGAGCCCAGGATGTCTTCGAATGCGTCACAGCGCACGAGCAGGAGAAGGGTGCCCCTTGGCTGTCGAAGCGACTCTGTTTTGGAGTCCTCTGTTGGGGGAGCCTTCCTCTCCACCTGCCTGAGCTCCTTGTAACAATCCTCAGGACCGGACAGCAGCGTGTGCTGCTTTCACCAAGACGCTTTCGGACTTCGAGGCTGGGAGCTGAGGATGGCTCCGTTCCGATGCGATGGATGTGGGGACTGAACGGGGGGGCATTCCCCTCTCTCTCATCCTCTCTCTTTCCTCTCTTTCCAGAGCCCCTTCTATCCTCAAGGGCAGTTTGGGCCTGCCGGTGTGTCCACAGGCTCAGACGTCCGCTGCACTCAAAGCTCAGGCTGGGATTTTCTTCACACTGAATGTCCGAGCCAGCCGAGCCATGACATAGGCCCCTGCCAGGCACAGCGACGTGAGCAGAAGCAACTGGGACAGACCTGGCGAGCAGAGGCCTAGCTGCCAGCTGCCTTGGCCGGCGCGTGCGCCATGAACCTTTGGGACGGCCTCACGGCCTCGGTTGGCGCGCACATGCAATTGTCGCGCCGCCTCCTCCTGAGGAGGAAATGGCTGTGCCGGCGAAAGGCCAACACAGTGAGCCGGAGGTTGAAGTTGCTGCAGGCACTGCCAAGTCGGATGTGGGGTGAAGTCCAGTCAAGGGTTCGAAGCCTCATTGCCTGCGACGCCGAACTCGCTACAGGCCTTGGGTCATTAGGCTGCTCAACACCAAGCCAGAGATTTCCGTGCTGTGTAGGGTCATTCCTGACCTGCGTATCTGTGGTTTTTTTCATAACGCCAGCTGTTTGGGTGATGTGCCGGTCTGTCATCCTTTCATAGCCCCGTGTGCCATTATCAGTGCGATGTTTCTGCAGGGCGCGCGGTTTTGTTTGTTAAGGCATCCCTCAACTTTGCATCTTGTGCCCAGCAAAGACAAGGTACCAGCATCTCAGGGCGGAGCTGGACAGCATCAAGCAGCAGAGGGACACAGGTGAGTGAATCAGGTCTTCTTGATTTCGGTTTGCGGTAAGATGGTCAAGAGGCCGCATGATCTGTTGAAACTGGTTTCCTCACAGAGCTGCCTCTCGTATGCAGGGGACGATACAATCACCACGTATATTGAGCAGAAGGCGTGGGACATATATGAAATATGGGATTGCACACAGATGTGTGCCAGCGTCCTGATATGGCAATTGAGTGTTCAGGTGGCGGCAGTCGAGGCGCAGCTCCAGTTGGAGACGGCCCAGAGATCACAGGCGACGTGTGGTGCCCTGGGCGCGGGACGTGAGAGCCCGAAAGCCTCCCCGCGAGAGGCCGACGATGACATCTTGCAGGCGCTGAGGCACTACACCACGTGCCTCCAGGTCCCCAAGCAGTTTTTCGGGGTTCCTTGGGGCTACTTCTCAGCTGCCTGCGCCTGCGAGCCTTGGCCCAGGATGCCCTGCGCATCATCAACCAGCACTGATGCAGCAGAGTCAGCAGAGGTGCTGTGCTAACACACGGCGCAGCGCCAGTGCTTTCAGAGAGGGCTGCTGCATGACAACCCCTCTTGCCGGTGCATGTTGTGCCTGGCCTTGGGGCCTTCATCGTATGCATCCAACAAGGAAGCATGTCGTGGCACGCTCCGGTTAAAAAGCAAGAACGGCAAGTGTGGCAAGTGCAGATCGCAAGTCGGAGAAGGCGCAGCATCAGTGCAGCCTGAGCACCGCAGCCGTCGTTGTGCCGTCTCCTCTGCTGGGGCTCAAGACTTTGCCCAGACCGCTTAGACGGCTTAGACAACATGAACTTTACTGATGCAGCGGTGGCGAAACTTTCCGCAGCTCGCACGTGCCATTGATGCCATACGTACAATGCGGAAGTAAGCTTTGAAGCCTTCAGGGCACCAAGACGGCACTCGCCCATACTCCAGCTCCACCCCCACCCAAGCATCCTGGCAGTCACGGACCAAACCCCCTACTTAAGAGGGCCCCCCCAGCTGCAAGCTGCAGCAAAGCCAATTTGCTTTGCACCCCAGCGCTTGCCAATCAAGATGGTAGTCATCTCTCAGTACAAGGCTCGACACCTCCGCGGTGCTGGAGTGCTGGAGTTCTGCAGACGGGTGGAAGAGGGTTTCCGGGATGCTCAGCCGCTCAGCCGCTAAGCCTTGCTCTCCCCTTGAACGCCTGTTCAGATCTCCAACACCCTGGGTGTTGGCACATTTGGCAAGGCAGGGATTGCACCCTTAGGGACGGAAGGGCGCGCCATAGGCGAGCTTTGCGTGCGCTGACAGTTGTGAGGTCAAGATGGCCGAACACACCCGAACGGGTCAGAAGGCGTGCTTCACAAGGGTCATGTGGGGTCGCGGACACCAAGCCTGTGAGAAGGCAACAAAACCTGTTTCGCAGGTGGCGATCAAGATCATCAACAAGCGAAAGATGGAGCAAATGAACATGCATGAGAAGATCAGGAGGGAAATCCAGATCCTGCAGCCACACCCTTGGACACGCATGAACACACGGCTAACGCAGTGCTTTGCTGGCTTTGGGCCCCCTGGGGCCCTTTTGGGGTCTTTTTTGGGGCCTGCCGGGGCTTTGTGGCAGCTTGTTAGGGGCCTTCCGGGGATGCGAGGCGATCTTGTTTTCAGGATTTGGCTCTGCAAGCAGAAGATTAGTCCGTCGGACGGCTCAGGTTCTTGAAGCATCCCCACGTCATCCGACTTTATGAGCTCTTGGACACGCCAAGCGATATCTTCATGGCTTGGTCCTTGGGAGATCATTTTGTGTACACAGCTCACAGGGTCATGGGTTGCTCTTGAAGGTCATGGAGTACGTGCCGGGTGGCGAGCTGTTCGATCACATCGTTCACAAGCTGAAGCTGCAGGAGGACGAAGCAGGAGCTCTCAGAGACCTTGAGCCACATAGAGAGTCCACGTGCCCACAAGCGTCTAACACTAGAGCCACCCATCGGAAACGATATTTTCACGCCCAGCAGCAAGCATCCTGTGTGCATTCTGTGGCTTGGTGGAGCGACAGCTTGCTGAGGCGCGGCGATTTTTCCAGCAGATCCTGTCTGGTGTCGAGTACTGCCATCAGTGCATGGAGAGAGCCTTAGATTCCCTAGATGTTGTGCTTCGACCATTCCTATGTGATCTCAAATTTTGACTTGAGTCAGGGTTCTTGAGTCCTTGGCAGGTTACGCATCGAGACCTGAAGCCTGAGAACCTGCTTCTGGACTCGAACTTGTCCACGGCTCGGCTTTTGTGCTGTTTTTCCTGAACGTGAACACCTACAGCATACGACTGACCCCGTGTGAGGCATGTCAAGATTGCCGACTTCGGCCTGTCGAACACCATGTCCGGCCCCCGATGTAAAGCTCACATGGAGCATGGCAGCTCCCTTCCGCAGATATCAGGAGATTTTTACGAAGATGTTCCCAGGCGCGACGGGGAGTTCCTCAAGACCTCCTGTGGATCGCCCAACTATGCCTCCCCCGAGGTTGTCTCTGGCAAGGCAGTGCGGATAGCCTCATGTTGCAGATGGCCAAAGCAGTGTGTGTTACTTCATTCTTCGAAAGAGCTCGGGGCAAGAGGCGTATGTCGGCCCAGAGGTGGACGTGTGGCCACCCCGGCGAGAGACCTTCTTAAGGGGTGTTTGTATGGTTTAGTATTATAAGCAGAAGGTGAGATCCTAGTTGTCCCGCCATCTTGCCAGGTCAGGGGGCGTGGTTCTTTATGCGCTGCTTTGTGGGTCGCTACCTTTCGACGATGAGAACGTGACCCTGGCAGGTCTTAAAAGTAGTACTGATCACCGGAGAAGCTGCGACTGCAGACCCCACACCTAAAACCCTAACCTCTGAAACCCTAAGCCCCGAAAATGGCAAACTCAAAGCCCGATGAAGCCCCCTTCGATCTCACGCCGAGGTCCCCAACCTTTTTCGGAAGATCAAGCACGGGAATTTCACCTTGCCAGGCTTTCTCAGGGTTTAGGTTCGGGATTGTTCGGGTGTTTGAGGGCCATGTCGATTTCTCCCGCGATGCCGGCGGCTGCCAAGCAATATTTCGGGTGCTGGGTTACCTTCAACCACGTTTCCGACACCCTAAACCCTAAGCCCTACACCCTAGATCCTAAGACCATGATTTTGAACTCGTTGAGGCCACTTGAGCAGCGAGGCGAAGGACCTTATCGTCCAGATGCTCGTGGTAGATCCAACGAGGCGTGCTCTCACAGGTTTGAGGTTTCAGCCCAAGGTTTAAAGCTCAGGGTGGACCAACCCTGAACCGCGGGCGTGTGTGCGAATCTCTTTGTTGGCTTTGGAGGCGAATCACGTTCTCACAGATCCGGAAGCATTCCTGGTTCCAGAAGGAGAAGAGAAACCCTGCATCTTGCCCCCCAAAGTTAGCCCTGTTGGAGTCGGATCCGATGGTTTGCAGGACCTGCCGGAATACCTCGCGGCTCCGCTGAACTTGGCCGTGGAGAAGCTGGACGATTGCTTGGCACTATTTAGCACCATCGGGTCACCAGCAGCAGCAGAAATCCTGTAAACGATCCACCCGAGAATTCGATATGCCACCAAGGAAATCCAGGCAGACATCCTCCAGGCTGCCCCCTATTGTTTTCTGTCGCAGTAAGGTTGCCTTCCTACAGACTCCTGCCATGGTCTGCAGGAGTTAGAAGACATGGGCTTCAAGATTACTGACAAGGACAATTTGAAGCCGGATGAGCAGGCACATTTTCCCATGCAAGGGGTCTGTGTTGTGGCGCCTCTGATGTGCTTCGAGGTGGCATACCATCTGCTGGCCGATCGTGCCTCGAAGCAGAGCAGCTTCTCAAATCTCCTTCGAAAGGCCCGTTCGGTGTATCGGCGTGGCCTGCCATTTGCATTCCACCAATTGGAAGTGCTGATCATGCACGGCGCTGAACGTGTGCTACACTGCATTTGCATGTTTGCCCTTGCCCCGCCAAAACAAGTCAGGACCAGACTGTACATGCTCACAAGATGTTCGACGATGAGGCCTAGCAACTGTTCTTGCCCACTCCTTGCAAATTTGCACGTGACACCCGCGACAGGAGATTGCAAACGTTGCAAAGCAGTTTGATCAGGACCCCAATGATATGCAACTTGTCAGTGCTGATTTCACACATGGTGCTGCCTTGAGCCAGGCTCGAAATCTTTTCCGCCGGTTCAATCAGGGGGGCACATAGGGTTGGAGGTTAGTTGGCTGGTTTGGAATGGGCACGGGTTGAACCACGGGAAACAACTGCCACGTCCTGGAGCCTTTGGGTGGGAAAGGTGGGAGAGCGGGGAGTGTAGAGGTTCGCCACCCCAAGGCAGCCGTATCACAGGGGATCGCGACCAACCTCTGTCTTTGACTCGCTGATACACTGTGCACCGTCCCTGCCGCCAGTCCGTAAAGTCTAGAACGGGGGTTACAAGGTAAGCCAAGCAGCAAGTTCTCTGCAGGATCTCCCTGTCTACAAGATTGCCGCCTCGGCTCCCTGGCAGTGTTAAGGAAGCAGTCGCAGAGCTGCTTCTCAGAATGCATGCCTGAGGCTAATGACAGGGCCGCAATGCTCGCCCAGGCAAAGCTCCCTCTGCAAGAGTGCAGGGGGCCAGGGCCAATGAATAACAACCTCATTGAGGGCCAAGACGGGCAGTTCAGAATCAAGTCCGTCGGGGGTTCTTTTTAAGAGCTTGGGAATCTGCACATGACCTGGCAGTCCACTTACTCGGCGCCAGAATGCCCTTGGCGCTTGGGCTTGGAAGCCATTATGGAGGTTGGGCGGGGTGGGAGCAGAGCGAGTTTGTGTGAGGGCATGATCAGGTGTGACCGTGACACCCAAGCCCAGCAAATCCAAGAAACCCTAAGCCAGTTGCACAGCCTTCACTCCAAGTCCTTTCAGGCCTCAGTTCTCATGACGGAAGCGTTAATTACGCTGCGAGATTTGGGCTATGAGGCACCGCTCTTGCTGCTTTATGTTCGGTCACACATGTTCGGATCGATGGTGTTGCTGTACCGGGTATTGTACTGTCTGGGAGGTTGCATTCTTTCTGTTTTTTGGACTTGACTTTTGTGACCGACCATGATTGATGACTCCAAAGCTACGTGAAGCCGAGTTTGTGATTTTCAGTTCTTGCCACGTGCAGCCTTGTGCCAGTGGAACAACGTCACGCCTTGGCGGGTTCGCGCCCGGCCTCTAAAGAGGCAGAAGAACTTAATGCGAGGGCCTCAGACAGAAAGTGGCAACCACATGGGGAACAGACGTAGCCCTTAAGCATGACCTAGGTGTTTCCCAAAATAGGGACCTCTTCTCTACGCCACATAGAATAGAATCCCCTCAAAGGGGGCCCCAAAAAGGGTACCCCGAATTTCGAAAACCCCCGCCCGCAGAAACCATGGCGGCCATTGGCCTGCGAGGCTGACTGTCCAGGTGTACAAGGTCTCCTCGGGGAAGTACATGGTGGACGTCCTCATTCCGCAGGCGAGAGCTTCATTCAAAGGGTCGTTTTCACGGGCCCTGAATACGGACCAAGGGGTATCTAAGGGGGTCCCCTTTGAACAATGTAACTACCTGAAGATTCATGCTCAGAGGGGCTCCTGTTTCATAGGGACAAGTATAGGACACAACGGCCATGTAGAGCCTGTGCCTCAGCTTTTTTACAGGGGCCGACGCTCCCAGCTGTGCAGGAGGCAGGGCCCGGCAACCCCCAAAGCTGAGAAGTCAAACTTGGGGGTAACGGATTGTGGTGAACATGTGAAACATGCGTGTGGCTGAGAGACTTGTGGGGTGACGTTCGACTTGTTCCATGACGGTTTGCTATTTTCGACTTTCCGCGACTTTCCGACTTGGTGGATGCATGGCATGGAACAGCTGAGAAGCACGTTTGTCTTCACGAGCCTTGCAAACACTGGAAATACTCGTGCCGCTTCGCAGTTCTTGTGCTGTGTCTCGTTTTCCAGTGTTCGGGAAGGGGCAAAGCCATCTGTGGTCGAAAGTTTAAAGGCTGCCTGGAGGGTCGAAAGTTGCCAGGTCTAGGGAATCTCGACATAGTTGTTTTTGCTTTCCAGTTGCAGAGAATGGCGCAAGGCTTGAAGGTGGCCTCAAATTTCTTCAGCCGTGCGCTCCAAGGCATTGCTCTTCCTTAGGCGGCTCTCGCAGCGGGAGGCGAGTTCGGGATCATATCTAAATATAAATAAATAAATAGACAAGTATATATATGTATATACGTATACGTATATATATATATATATGTATACATACATATACATATACCACAGCTATATACAAAAACTCTATATATTAGAAAAAACAAAAAATAAGTTTGTATATCTGTAGATAAAATATGAATAGTTTACAACACATTTACATATATACATATATGCCAACAAAATTCGAAACAGGGTTCGGTGCAAGGACCGTAAGATGCGATGTCTGCATGGGCTCTTCATCGGCGATTCCACAACACTTGCAGGCAGTGGCTGCCAACATCGTGTTGAGGCACGAAGCTTTCAGAATGGGAGTTGCTTGTGGGCTTGTCTACCACTTCGAGAAGGTTGCGCCTGTGCTCTCTCTGCTCTGGCCATGCCATGTCTCTTTTGCGTTTCAGGCCCAGCACACAAGCACTGACGTCGAGCCGCCCCTTGTCTCCGATAGTCTGCGATGCGCAGTGTTGGTTCTGGGTGGACACAACAAGAACAAGAAGAATGAGACTCGTGTTGCGCTGTTGTGTTTACCAGAGCCCCAGGCCGACTTGGCCGAGGTGGGACCAGCAGGGTTTGACTGACCTGGAAGCTGCAAAAAAAACTCTTTGATCGTTTTAAACTGGATCTCAGATGATCTCACTCAGCGTGTGTCAACATGTCTTAGGGCGCAATTGGCAAATCGGTGCATGAGGATCATTTAGGATCTCCATGGCCTCTTCCTGACAGGTGATGGCTATCCACAAGGCAGAGTCTTGGAGTGTGTCACTCACGTTAGAGGGAGATGTGCGCGGGTTCCCTTCGGCGCAGGAGCTGGACCCACGGCAAGCTTGTGAGCTGGGGGGAGTGGGATCACGGCTGTCCCTGGCTGTGAATATAGCCATAGGGCCGTGAGCCTTCCCGAAAACCAAGTCTAGCCACCTTCTTACAAGGATCAAAGGAGGATTGCGGGACGTTGGCTTTGGGGGGCCTTTGCAGAATCAGTGGCGCTTCCTGAAAGTTTGTTCTCGCTCGCGCCTCCAAGGTTGTGTTCTGGTTCATTCAGCCATCCCAGGGTCCCATATAGGCGCATATGCCAAGCACACAGTTTTAAGTATACAAAAAAATAATACATATATATATATATATGTGTGTATATGTGTATGTCTTTTACCAACATATTCATATACGTCTGTATACCAACAAGATGAAAGGCATCTGGAAGGAGGGCGGCTTCAGGGCTTCGCCTGCTTTTGGGGAGCAAGATCGGGCCGTCTCAGGTCGCACGGCCAAACCCTGGCTGTCTTTGGGGGGCTTTCCGGTGGGCGGTCATTTGAAGAACTGTCCGGGCCACTCGACAGCACGAGCTTAGTTGCGGAATTGCGTGAAGCTAGGCCCGCAACATGCTGCAAGCAAGAGCTCTCTTTCGAGCCTTCTATTTCCCGTGGCCGTTGGAGCAATATGCTTCACAATCAGGGCCTCGTTCCAGGATTGAGGCTGCCACCGCATTTAGAACGGCGTAGGACAGCAGGCGGACTGAAGCCAAAAACGGACCTTTTGAGCACTCCGAGGGGGTCTGACGTCGAGAGTGCCCCAATCCTGGCTGAGGGCATTCGATTGTCGCGACACGCGTGGCCTCAAAATGCCAGTGCACCCGAGCACCCAGGTCTGATGTTCCTTGCAGGCCTTCTGCCATCTTCTGCCCAGTGATCACAGATGCCCGACGTCTTGGTTTCTTGCCATGCTGTTGCTCAGACCTTGTCTTAGATTCTGTGAAACAAGAACCATCCTACTACCATACCATAGCATGCCATATCCGCTGTCCTGGCTATCCTGTTGTCGCTCCAGCTAGCCCAAAACAAAGTGGCTCATGGCTGCCAGCGTCTTGAAGTTGCCACTTCCCGCAGAAGGCCGAGAAGGGGTGTCTTCAGGTGAACAGAAGTGTACAGAAGGGGCACTGGGTTGGGCAGACGGCGTTCAGAGTACACAAAGAAGTTTCGTAAGCGGGGCCTCATGGGTTCTCTTTAATTCACCCGGAATTCGGGCATTTTGCGCTGGCATGGAGCCGGGCTCCAAACCGAACCTGCTGCAGCAGCCTGCATAGCAGGTTCTGAGAAGATTGTGGTCAAGAAGACCTTCCTGGAAGTCGAGGAGGATCTGACCCCACAAGGCGCTGGAAGTATCATGTCATGTACCCTAAGCTTACAGCAAATTCGCACACCTCGATCAGCTTTCGGTGTTTTGGGTGCTCGCCCGAGGGCTGCCAGCGAGCTACAACTCCGTGCCTGGGCTCCATTGACGTGGCAATGCCAAGCAATACCAAGCAATTCAAACAATATTAAGGAATACTAAGCAACAGTAAGCCGAAAGCAATATTAAGCAATATTTCGCAATAATAAGCAGCGAAAATCAATGTCAAGCAATATTATGCAATACAAAGCAAGATGAAGGAATACTAAACAACATATAAGTGATGCTCTGCTCCCCCGAAGCGATGCAAGCACTCCTCCACAGAAGCCTCCAGGGCAGCCTGTAGACATCCTTGCAGCTGCTCTCTCAAGGATTCCGTGGTTTGGGCACGCTTCACGCGACAGATCAGCAGCTGCTCCGACAACTGTGAGGAGACTCTCAGGGCCCTTCCATAGGAGCTCAGACCCACTAGCTCTGAATGTGTGGAGGATGGCCAGGCCCAACTGGGAGACGAGCCTGTGCAAGAAGAGGAGGCCTTATGTGAGCTGGAAGCTTCAGAGCACTCAGGGTTTAGGGTTTAGGGTTTAGGGTTGGGGGTTTAGGGTCATGGGAGGACATTCGCCTTACTTTGCTGGCAGGAGCAGGACAGCAAGGATGAAGCGGAGGGCTTCGACAAGACCTTGCCGAAGCTGCTCGGGAATGTCTCCATGATGACTGTGTCCACTGATGACAAGGATGCTGGGTGGGGGTTTTGGGACATTTTGTAATTTTTTCCCTTGTTGGGTTTCAGCAGGATCATATTTTCTAGGAACATTTTTCGGAGGGCCATCCTAGGATGTGAGCCGCCCATCTTTAAGAGGGAGGCATCGACTGTTAGGGTTCGGAGGCTGCCGTACTCAGGACTCCTGTTCCTCCGCTTCCGATGGCAGCCCTCCAAGCGCTTCAGCCGCATTGGCCCAGCCCTTGCACCACTTGTCTCCGCGGATCGCGTCATGAGGTGCCACCGGGACCAGGCCAGAAAGCTGCCAGGATTTGAGGGTTCAGGGCGTCGGAGGGCGTCGGAGGGCATCGTTCAGACCGTGGTGTGGCTCGAATCCTTCTCGCCGCGCTGAATCTGCTTCAGGCCCGACCTGGGTCCAGCACCCTCGGAGGAGGCTGTGGATGAGGCGACTGCCAAGGCGAGCCCAAAGAGAGCACTTTTGTTCGTCGTCATTTTTGAGGCACACACACACAGACACACAGACAGTACACAGACACAAGGTTTAGCAATGTTGGAGTTTCAGGACGGTTCGCGGAGTAGAGACCACTTTGAAAGCACTTGAGAGCTGTCAGTTGACTGTGAGATGTGTGGGGTTCTATGGTTTTAAACCACAAGTCCTAGGTCCCAAACCCCAAAAGCCCCACACGTGACCCTAAACCCCACAGCCCCAATTCAACCCCCAAGGCCCAAAAGCCTTCTCAGGCCATGCACGCTGCAGCCGCTGCCCTGGATGCTGCAGGAATCTCCAGGCCACTGAGTTGGCCCAGCTGTTTCTTCACCCGAGTTCTTATGTTGCTGCTACTGGTGGGCTCCTGTACTGTAGCAGCGTAGCAGCTCCAGCCACGCAGGGCTAGGGCCTTTCAGCCTGGCGCGCAAAGCCTGGAGGCAATCTCTGGACCATCTGTTGAACCACCTGTCAACCTCCGTGAACACCTCAGCAACGGGAGCTACGATGTAGTGCTTTGGCGAGGTGACCGATGCTGAGAGGAGGGTCAAGCAAGTCTTTGCACGATGCCAGCCCTGAGATGCCGAAAGACCTAGCCGATCTCAGTGAGCTTGCATGTAGCACGTTTGGAAGGATAATCGATTTACCGGCACCGCAGGGATGTTTCGGAGGAATGTGGGCTCTGCAGCTGAAAAGTGACTGCAGCAGGCAGGATTGCCCTATCTGGAGTGGAGTGCGAGAGGTCCGCCCGGACACAAGCAACGTAACAGGAGCGGCGAGTGGAGCTAGGAGCCGGAGGACGTCGAGACATATTGATACGGCCCTGGCAAGCCAGGTGTAGGTCAAGATTTGGCAGGCTTGCCGAGACATTCCTTCAAGGTAGATCTCCTGCACGAGGAGACTGGCGAAAAAGTTCACGTGCTGCGATTCAGAACATAGCCGCTGTTTAGGGATTCAGGAAACCATGATTTAGGAAGTCCGCGCGAATCAGGAAACTGTGGTTTTGGAAGCTACGCCACTCAGAAATCAGGCAACTGGCCTCATGCGATTCAGGAAGACAGAAATCACGTGATTCAGGAAACAGGCTTTCAACAAGCTTTACGCGATTCAGGAAAGTGAATTCCGTGATTCAGGAAACTGCAGAACTCCCACAAGCAACTTCCCGGTCATTCAGGCAACTACACAGTGCAGGAACATTCCGGAACTGCTGGAGAGGCGTACATCAAACTTTGGAGAGTGTGCGGCAAAAGTGCTGCAGGTTGCCCGATCTGTTATGAGCTATGAGTTGTTTGAGGGCGAGCTGATGGTGTCTTAGAGACAAGTGAGTAGCGGGAAGGATTGGGTGATACTGGAGTCATAGCGATGGGCCTCCAGGCTGAGTACGATCCCCAAACCAAGGCGAATTCCCCCAAATCTCGCACAAAACCTCCCCTAACACAGCACGGCATTTTCAACCCACTTCATGGGCGCTTGATCCACGACAATGTCACGGCAGTTCCGCTAGTGCATCCTTGTGAAGAGGCCATGCTACACAACCAATCACACTTTCTGGGTGATTCGGACATCATGAACTCGGAAAACTGGAAGCACCGCACATCAGAGCAGACATGATGTGGCGATTTGGCGCTTTTTGGAGTTTGGCACCGTAAGTTCGCTTTTGATCCGAGCCCAAGGTCCCGGCACCGCAGCCCGTGAAGCTGCTACCGGCCCTGCCTGCACCGGGGCCTCGCGCACCGCGCACGACGGTGATGCTCCGGAATTTACCCAACAACTATACCCGGAACATGGCCAGGGCCACGGTTCTTGGTTCGTTTTGTGTCCACGGGGGCATGGCATCATTTGTGACATCTTCCAATGCGATGCAACCGGGCACAGGTGTGCACGATGCTGGACAAGGAGGGCTTCAAAGGTTCGTACGACTTCATGTACCTGCCCATTGCCGCTTGGACGCACATGGAAGCAACAGCCGTAAGCCCTAAACCTTAAGCCTGCCCTGCCCCCCCCCCCTCCCCCCATGAAAATTGCCAAGACCAAGGACTTCCGCTCAAAAGCAAACCTGGGCTATGCCTTTATCAATCTGGTGGATGAGCCCAAGGCAGGTGCGGCAAGTGCGCGAGGTGGGATTCCAGTGCTGTGCATCACGGCTGGCAGGTTCAGCTGCTTTGGCAGATCTTCGATGGCTACACCAAATGGGTTTTGCCCAGCGCGAAGGCTCGGGCACCGAGGGCATGTGTTGTGCACCGAGGGCGTGTTGTGTACGCGTTTTCAACACCAGGTCTGTTCAGTCAGCTGGAGCGGACCGCATCAAGGACAGCAGGCGCACATTGACCGCTACAGGCCATGGGCGATCCGGATACTGTGCCTGTGTGCACATGCTTTTAGAAGCTCATTCGCGCCACAGGGACAGCCCCATCATGCACGGCAGCGTTCCAGACGAGTTCAAGCCGGCAATTTTCGCTCAAGGCCGATGCCGCAGTTTCAGTTTTGTTGCCTGCCAGTTGCCGATTCCGCTATTGAAGGAGCCACCGCGTGCAATTCAAAAAAACTGAGAGGCAATTGTCATGAAGCGCCTCTTGTGTTTGTTTTGTGTTGGTTTGTTCTGCACTCTCCTTCGTTCCTCAAATTTAGTGCTTTCCTCATTGTACTTGATTCCTTCCCGGCTTCCCCATTCGTTTTTTCTTGTCATTGGGTTTGCTTGTCTATCTGTGCAAGATGGGCAAGAAAGGGAGTTTCCAGTGGGCAGCCCCAAACGCGAGTGCTGCAATGAGAACACCCCGAACCCGCGCTTCTGGACAGCTGAGTGGGCAGGCTACCCTTTTCAAGGAAAGAGTGGAGTGGGAAGCCTGATGGCGCCTGAAACCGGGCTTTGACAGCAAACGGTGCCTACAGGAAACAAAGCAGTGTTGGTGAGCTGTACTTAAGGAAAGCACCATGGGACGCTGCTAGGCCTCCCAACCCTACGAGTCCCAAAGCCCCTGAAGTCCAAAAACCCTACATGGTTTAGGGTTTAGGGTAAACCCCAGGGTTTAGGGTCATCTAGCCAGCCCAGCAGGCACAGGCCTTCGCCTTGACTTCCCCCTGCCGTCGAAGAAGCTCCGGGCACCCCGCAAGCGGCTTCCAGGCAGCCAGCACGCTGTGCGGGAGGGTTTATGGTTTAGGGGTTAGGGTTTAGGGTTTGGGTTCAGGGTTTAGAGGGTTTGCAGGGTTTAGGGTTGGGCGCGCTTTGGGGAGGGTTTTTTTGGGGATTACCGTGCTTGGGGGATTGGGGTCTAGGGCTAGTGGGTTCAGGTTTCAGGGTGAAGTCCAATCCAGTTGCCATGGCCAAAATCCTCAGTTTCAAAACGCTCCAAAAGCCCCAGACCCTGTAACACCTTGGCTGAAAGAGCGGCGTCCCCTCGTTCTGCTTGTTGAAAAGTTGCTTGCCTTCCAAAATTGGAGCGGCAGCCCAAGCCTACCGCGAATACCTCCCATGCGATCAGCTGCCGCTCGCGCCAGGAATGGACAAGGCTGAGCCGAAGGCATCCAGCTGACCGCTGAGTCGAAGGAAACTCAGAGTCAACGTGAGATGTCAACAAAATTCCTTTAATTTCATTCGGATTTCCTCCTGCGGAGCTTGGAATACGGGCTACGCAGGCACATGCCAAGCAAAGAAGCCCTGAAGGCCCGAAGCCATTGGATGGCTCAAGTCCTTCAGCTTCAGCATGCACTAGAGCATGCAAGCAGTTCAACAGCGTGACCAGTGCGCTGTGATTCCCTGGCAGGAGCCTCTCACGAGAGCTCCTTCGGTCGGTCCAGTTTTCCCACATGTTTCGCGCGATTCTCCCACCTTCCCGACTGCTTTGGATTTGTGTGGCTCAATGCTTTTTTGTGTACAGGGCACTCTGGCCCTGGGCACCTGAGACATGCACCAGGTTCACGAGCTTCACTACAGCACCACGGTATCATCCCCAAACTTCGGCTCTGAACATGCATGTGCACGTGCCAGGGGGCAGTTGCTGCACGAAGCTTTTAAACAGATGCGCAGGCTGTTAGTGGCGCCTGAAGTCGGGGTGTGCTCCATGCAAGAGCTGCCTAACGCGCAGATCACATGTCAATTTCTTCAGATGTGCAATAGACAGAATAGACATGTTCCAAAATGTAATTCACCCACAGAGTCGCGCACCAGCCGCGGCAGCAATGCTCCCAGCAAGGGTCTGGAAGCGGTAGGCAGTGTTTGGCAAGTTCCATCAAGTTCCATTCAACCTTGATTCATTGAAACGAAAGCTGTGATGCCCGACTTGCCAATGATCTGACACCCGCCGCCACGGAAGGCCGGCCACGTCTGGATTCTTGTGGCTGAAACCTGTGTAGAGAGTTGTCAACGCCCGCGGTATCACGACCGTGCGAAGCTGCAAAGAGAGATTCTTTCAGCCTCCTATGAATCCTTTGCTGCTCCATTCTCCTTTCCCGTCACTTTTCCTTGGGAGGGACATTGTAGTGGAACGGCTGCCTGTGAAAGATCTCGAGGCACGGCTGAGTCAGAGCGTGGCCAGAGCATTAAAGAAAAGCATCCTTGCAAGAGTGATTCTCTCAACCCCTGATCTTGCTACAAGAGCTGATTACACAGTGCCAGGGCAGGTTGCACCAACCGAAGGAATCTAAGCCGACTCCGAACCTTGGAATGTGAACCCCGCACCTGTGCATGGGACGATGCTGGCGCTTCTCCCGCTCCGAGAACAGCGGCCAAAAGCCACCACAGTTAGGCTCGCAACTTGCCGATCCGGATCCCGGGGGTCCAAAGGGGCCGCGATGCGCCCCTTGCGAGTGCGGTTAAATATGATTGCCAGAAGACTCGCGACAGTCCTCTACATTTGGTCCTCTCACCACACCGCTCGCAGCACGATGCATGGATTCACGCGATTGAGGACACCGCGATTCAGGAAACCACACCATTCAAGTACTTTCGTGGAGCTTGCGCAGGAAGGCAGCAGCGCGACCACCCTGTTGAACAGCTCCTGGCACGCTGGGCGTTGGGCTTGACGAGCTGGGCGACGAGGCGGAGAGGCGGAGAGACTTTGCGCTCCAGCACCTGCCTGTTTGACAGGCGAGGGCGCAGAGCAATTGAAGCACGCTTGCGAGATGCAGAGAATGGCTGATGCGTGAGGGCGGGGGGGAGACGAGTGTCACGTCACAGCAAAGTGCCTCGCGGAGCGGGTTGGCCCAGATGCAACAGAGTTCAGGTGACGACGGTCAGCGGGGTCCCTGACCCTCAGGCCCAGTAGCCTCGCACGCTATGTGCACCCAGGTGATTCTCGAGCAGTGTTGTTCGGCGGGCGAGGAGGCGGGTGTGGGGGCACGCGGCATGGTGGTCACCGTACTCGTTGACGACATCACCGCAACCGTGTGCGTGAGCAACATATACTGGCATGGCACGACCGGCAGAGGCAACCGCAACCGCGTTCGCATGCCCAGTAATGAGCATGCATTTGGGCAGCAGTGCGGCGCTAGCCTAAGGATGGCGCTGACTCAGTCCGCAGCATGCCGCAGCGATTCTCGGCTCGAAACTGGGGGGTTTGGGTTGGCCCCGTCTGGGTCCAAGGATCTCCTGGTCGCAGCGGGCACGGCGGGTACGGAAATTGAAAACTCGAGGGTTCGGAAGTGCTGATTCGGGAAATAAAAATGCTGATTCAAAAGATGGAGACGTGATATGGGAAGCTAGAAACGGCGGATTCGGACACCTTGGATTCGGGAAACGGCTCATGCGGGAATCGCAAAGTTTCTGTCAGCACCCTTAACGTGAACATCACCCTCGCCCTCCACCCGTAATTTCCCGAATCGGCAGATTCCTGGCATTTCCGGCCCCATACGCTGGCCTATGTTGCTTATGATGCAGCGGTAATGCAGCTCCCAGCGAGCTGTCGTCGGGCCGCCGTGCGAACAGCCTTTACGGCAGGCAAAGGCCGCAGCTTGGGCTCCTTCGCGTCGCCCAAGCAACATTTTTTGCCCACTTGGGCACCTTGCGGAAGGCCAAGCCCGAACGAGTTTCCACGAGTTTCCACCTGACAGCGCCGGACGGCCCAGTCTGATCCGACACGGCGCCCAGCGCCTCTCGCGCACGCTCCGGAGGCACGTGTCGTCCAAAAGCCCGCAAAACACTCACCACGGCGAAGCTGATCTCTTGGGCGACAAGGAATGTTTTTGGTAGACGCAGAGCGCCGGAGACTTGCTCGCCCTGGCATGTGGTGTGCCAGACAGCTAGCTAAGTATATCTAAGTATGCAGGAGCGCCGCACGCAGGATCGTGTGGTACTCGCTGCGGCCGTCAAATGACATGACGGTGGCCAATGGGTCGAGGCCAAGAACATCCCAAACCAATCCACAGCATCCTCGACCGGGCGTCGCGTCTAGCACGGGTCTGCCTGGCCTGCGTCGAGATGCGTCGAGAGGAGGCGTCCAGGAGGCGAGGAGGCGTCGCGGAGGCGTCGACGAGGAGGCGTCGCGGAAGCAGGTGTCTGCGCACGAGGGAGCATCGCCAAGCGGTCTTCTCGAGGTTGGCAACAATGCCGGCACACATGCGACAGAGGACGTGAGGGCCTTCAACACAGGATGCGTGCGCCGGAGGGCGTTGCTGAAGGAATCAGCTTCGCAAGCGGATCAAGCTGAAGGCTTCTGCACGGATCAATTTGTCATGTTTTTTTGTTTTTTTGTTCCAATTTTTATAGTAAATATTTTATTGGTATACATAGTAATGTATAATGATTGAAATCACTTACAGATGGGCATTTTTGTTTGATTTTCCAATTATTCTTGCTAATATCTTGATATATTTTGAATGAAATCACTCACAGATGGGTATCTTTGTTTGATTTTCCAATTATTTTTGCTAATATCTTGATTTATTTTGAATGAAATCACGTATCTTTGTTTGATTAGTTTACGATATAAGAATGACCACGTCGGGTTACCATGAAACATGAGTATGGTTATACCATTTTTTGGATCAAAATTGTTTGGTTGTTGAGTACGGGTGATGATGATGATGGTACTTCAGATGTTGATAATGATTCACCGAAGCAGCCCCCTTCCTGCGCCTCCTGTCGCAGCACCGCGCAGCCGGCGTCGCGGCCCCGCTACGCGCGGCTGCACGCACAGGCTGGGTGCGACGGTGGCTTCGATGCGTGCACATTGCGCGTCAGCTTTCGCGTATGCAAGGAGCTCCTCGCCTGTCCGCCGCACACGCAAGGCCATCATGCCGCCCGTGGGAAAATGCGCTAGAGCCCCATGCATCTCCTCAATCATGTGCCTCATTGCACGGACGGATGACCTCGGGCGGAGCATTGCGCCGCGCGTGGTTGGCACGCGTGCTCGCGCACATAAGCCCGGGGCGTCAACCCGTGCGTAATCCGGGTGACCCAGCAGGACGCTCAGCGCGGTAAACCCGCGCTCGTGGGTTGGGCGGCCGCCGCGCCACACGTGCTCGCGCACGCCTGGTGGTGACTTCCCGCACCAGCATTGTACACACGCGTTGCCACCCACGCAAGCTTCCTTCTGTAATGGCCGTTGCGTGCCCT